AAGAATCTATTTTCTTTTTCTTTCTTTTTTTTTTTTTTGAGACAGGGTTTCTCTGTGTAGCCTGGACTCTGGCTGTCCTGGACTCACTTTGTAGACCAACTCGGCCTTGAACTCACAGAGATTTGCGTGCCTTTGCCTCCCCAAGTGCTGGGATTACAGGCGTGCACCACTGCAGACGGCTAAGAATCTATTTTCAATAAAAGGAAAACAGATAGAAAAAACATCAAAACTAAGGCATGGGGGCTGGAGGTATGCATCAGCCAAGCCTGACAAGTTGACTTTAAGGCCTGGAATCTACATGGTGGAAGGAGAGAACCGATTCTCTCATGTAGTCTTCTGAATTCCATATGCGTTCCCTGGCTTGTGTGCATGCACTCCCACACACAAAATAAAGTGTAAAAACTTACAAAAATTGAGATATGGATAAAATATGGTTTCAAATGTGAGCAAAGAAAAAGTCAGGTGTGAATAAGGCTGTGAAGGGACACAGAATTACGTAAGTCCAAGAATGTGAAGCTATTGATGTAATTTCTGTTTCTCCAGTCTCCTGCACATGGCAGGTCCTAAGTACACATTAAGTAAGATTGGTCACAGAGCAGTGTATATAGAGTAGAGGGTAAGTGCTGGGTAGCTGTCAGAGCCCTTGAGGGTTGTAGTCCTGAGCACTGGGGAGGCCAGACACTGTGTCTGCCTAGCTCTCTTGGGGATAACCTTCTGCTCCCAGCTAGATACATTATGCTTTGAGGTGGCCATAGGTTCTGGTCTTAGCCAATGAACTCCAGGTTAGCTCATTAGATGAGCTGAGCCTGAGAACATCTCTTGCTTGCCTTTGGGCCTCCTTTGCTGAAGCCAGGGATATCACCTGTACCAAGAGAGTACAGCAGTTCTTCACTGACATCTTTCCTGAGAGAGGGCTGGCTCCCTCTAGGTGAACCAGTAAGATTGGCTGCTGTTGGAGGAACATGTTCCCTGCCCTGAAAGCTGTCTACTATGAAAGGCTATTACAGAAGTGTGCTCTGGTGACATCCAATTTCCAGGTCACTTAGAACTTTAAGCTTAGTGACATTCATGCATGTCTAATTTTCCATGTACCGTGTGATCTATCCCAGAAGCTTCTAGACATCCTCTCTCTTCTGCTTACAGCTGAGCTTCCAGCCACTTGCAAGCATGAATATCACATTGCTCAGCGTTTCAGAGGGTGGTTCCCAGGACCTCACTGTGACTCTGTTTTACCCTATTGAACTGAAATGTGCTCATGATTTCTGGATTCCATAACGCATAGGACCTACAATTTGGCTGGATCTGAGTTCGTTAATGTGGTAACTTGGATTGAAGATCATTATTAAAGACAATTTTCTTTTAAGAATTGGATTTGTGTGTGTACATGTGTGCCGGTTGCAATCTTCATCTTTTTTTTTTTTTTCAGATTTTTGCCTTCCAATTTTGCTGTTCAAAATTTCAAATATTTTTCTTTTAGAATTTAAATCCATCATCATTTCACTGGACTGCTTATATTAGCAAAAAAGTTGAAGCAGTCTGTAGTGGTTTGAATAAAATGGCCCCCATATACTCTGGGTGTGGCACTATTTCCTGGTGTGGCCTTGTTAGAGGACGTGTGTCACTGTGGGGGTGGGCTTTTAGGTCTCATATGCTCAAGTTGTGGCCAGTGTGGCACATAGTGTCTTTCTTCTGCCTGTGGATCAAGATGTAGAACTCTCAGCTCCTTTTCCAGCACCATGTCTGCATGTTTGCCGCCATGTTTCCTGCCATGACTATAATGGACTAAACCGCAGAAACTGTAAACCAGACTTAAGAAAATGTTTCCTTTATGAGAGTTGCAGTGGTCATGGTGTCTCTTCACAGCAATAAAATCCTAACTAAGACACAATCTCAATATATAACCATAAGAGAGTATTATGAAGAGAAACATATATATTTCAGGGCATTACTGTCTGATATTATGGATGTGTGTGTGTGTGTGTGTGTGTGTGTGTGTGTGTGTGTGTGCAGAGTCCCACTGTGTAACATTGGATGACTTGCTATGTGGACCAGGCTGGCTTGGAACTCAAGAGATTCACCTGCTCTGCTTCTCCCAAGTGCTGGGGTTAAAGTCATACATCATTATGTCCAGCTGAAAAATTGTTCCAATTCTAATTGTTTTCTTTTTTAACATGTGTGTACGGGTATAGAAGTCAGAGGACAATTCGTAGGAGTCAGTTCTCTTTCTACCATGTGGATCTCAGGATTGAATTTAGGATGTCAGGCTTGGTGGAAAGCACCTTTACCCGCTGACTCATCTCCTGGGCCCTAATTTTTTTTTCTCTCTCAACCTTGAAGTGCTGGTATTCAAGGTGTGTGCCATTATTACTACCTTAAAAAGTTTTTAGTTGTCTCATGTCCATATTTATGGCATAGCATGATTTCAGTACATGTATACATTGTGAAATAAACTATCCACTAAGACTAAATAAGCAAAACAAACAAATCCCAAAAAAGAATTATAAAATCAAAAAACCTGGCCTGGCCCCCTTACTGTATGCTGTCTTTCCTTCCTGATCCTGGCTTTGTGGATCCTTGGGGAGCTGCTGGCATGAGCATCTTTGGCTCTAGGTAGCTTGGGAAACTCCCATTTCTACTCTTCCCATACAACACTGGCTGTAACCAGAGAGCTCCTAATCCTCCACCTACCAGATGTGTGAGTGTTGCCATCCAGATAGTGGCACTCAATGGGGCACAGAGCTGCAGGGGGTTGAGTAGGCACCAGGAATAAAGGAGTAAGTCCAGTTTGGCAAGAGACCAGTGAGTGTAGGTATAGCTGGAAGAGGGATCCACAAAGACGACTAAGGAGGGCTGCACCTGCAGGCAGGTGGCTTTCTCCCTCTGGGCTTGTTATCCATCTGCAGAAGAGCAAATTATGTTGGCTGACCTCTGGAGTCTGTCATATTCTGGGAGCTAGAAATGCACAAAAAGGAGGCCTCAGGGCAGACACTGACGGGTATGAAGACCTGCTGCCAGCAGCTGGGACTCAGGACAAGAGGACTGAGTAGAGGGCGGCAATGGTGTTTGATAAACAACTGGAGTGAAACAGGTGCTAGCTCATTGGCACAACTGAGAAGCTCTTGTCCTGGGCTGTACCTAAGTGTGGTGGTTGAATAGGTATGGCCCCATAGACTCATGTGTCTGAATGCATAGCCCATAGGGACTGGCATGATTAGGCATGGCTTTGTTGGAGGGAACATCATCGTGGAGGTGGGCTTTGAGGTCTCATACACTTAAGCTACACCCAGTGTGACACATAGTCTCCTGCTGCCTTTGGATCAAGATGTAGGACTCTCGGCTCCTTCTCCAGCTCCTTATCTGCATGCTTGCTGCCATGTTTCCCGCCATGACTATAATGGACTAAACCTCTAAAACTCTAAGTCAGCCCTAAGTATTTTCCTTTCTAAGTTGTCGTGGCTTCAATTGCAGTGCTTCCCACTGTATATCTGCCCTCCCACCCCAAAGGTGCCTGTAATTGCCTTTGAAGGATGCTGAGAAGAAAACACATCATCCCAGGGTGAGCTCTACAAACTTTTAGGCCACCTGGAGAGGTTCAGAAGCCACAGGGCCATCACCAGGCAAGAACAGCAATGATGCAGCCTGCCACTGAGGAGTACCTTGTATCTGAGCCCATCCTCATCCCCACTGGGTGCACGTGTATGATGGACATGTGATATTTGTGTCTCAAGAGAAGCAAACTGAGGAATCCTGGCCAGAGTGAGGTCTTGAGGCAAGGTGGGTAGAACCTTGACTCTGACACTTTTCAATTGTGTTCGCTTGGCTATGGCTTCCATTTGTCTGGGCTGTGTGGAGATAATGGAGAACCACACCAGCCTTAGACCTAGGATCAAGTGGAAAGCCTTTCTGAGCCTGAGGGCCTGAGCAAGCACAGCAGCAGTGCTGTGCGACCAAGTGTGAGACAGACAAGAACAGAGCTTGCTGACTGAAGCACGTAGGGTAGGGCCTGGCCATCAACTTTCAGGCACTGCCCACCTTTCTAGGCTATGATGAAGCCACAAGTTTACCCACAGTGATCTGCAAAGGGACACTGGACTTCATACAAGGAATAAACGACTATACAGTGTGCATCTCTGACAGTGTGCTGAGAAGGGCCAATTCCCTCATGCTAGAATTACTACTGATGAAGCCACAAGTCAGTCCCCATGCTCCATGCTATTTCTCTACAGCATGCAGTCTTGCAAGTTCTGGACACCCCTCAGGTGTTTATCTAGGAGCCCAGAGTCAAGGCATTCTGAGCAGACAGGACTCTGCAGTCCTTCCAGGCCTGTAGAGTCTTCTGTTATCCATGGAGGCTCAGGACAAGAAAGACAAGTCCCATGGACCCAGAGTTCATTTTAAAAGGGTAAACACTCAAAGCTTTAGATTTTGTGCTTAGAGTAAGTGAGCAGCTGCTACAGATCACGTGACCAATTCCACCAGTCTTGAATCAAAGGCTCAGAGCTATCAGGTTTTCCTGCAAGGCTGTAATTCTCAAACACACATGGACCAAACCACAAAATGGGGAAGACCCATTTTGCTGGATCTTTAACAACACTAAGGTACCAAATTTCATTGAACCAGGTATGACATCCATAGTATCTTCTTTTTGGTACTGTGCTGGCTGGTTAAAAAAATATCCTGAGATATAGGTAAAATTGCCTCTCTAAGGAACCTCAACAAAGTAGTCTCTCAGTGTGCCCTAAGCCCCCCCCCCCCCATGAAACTTTCTAGTCCTTTCCAACTTTCAAGGCAGTGGCTATGGATAACATCTCCTCACCACACGCCAAGCATTCTTTCTGCACTGTGTCTTGTTGAAATCTGCCACACCACCCTTCCAGGGAAGCACAACAGGACGATTACCTCACTACACAGATGAAGGAGTTGAGTTGTGTGCAAAGACAACTTTTCTCTATGTCAGCTCTGTGCTCTCAACCATAAAATGGAACACTTGACTACAGCTATTTATTATATTCTTACAGGTGAATTTAGCTTTAAAGGCTAAATCCAATTGAAAATTACTTTAATATTTGCACTTACAAGCAACAGGTAAACAATGAACAGTTATGACTGGGCAGTGTCACAGGCATATGGAAGTTGAGGGGCAAGTGGAGGGCCAAGCAAGCTTCACACAAAGGCATTTCAGGGACAGACCGGGAACACTGGCATGCTAAATTCCATACAGAATACGGCACAAACACTAAGAGCTGGAGACTCAGATGACATCAAGAAACACGTCTGAAACATGATCCTCGGACACTTTATAAGCTCAATGTCCTCTGTGGTGGCCATTCTTGGTTGTCAACTTGGCTACATCTGGACTAAAATCCAAAACTGAGAGCGCGTCTGGGAGGGATTTTTTTGCTTAACTTGAAGTTGGTAGATTCTCCTTTAATCTCAATCTTGAGGCTCTAACCTGGGCCACACCTTCTGCTGGAAGCCTATATAACGGCTTGGTGGAAGGAAGCTTTTGCTCTTTGCTTGCTTGTCCTCGACTTGTTAGCAAGTACATTCCTTCACTGGCATTAAGAGTCTACTTCTTTAGGAGGACCAGCCGAAACACCCAGCCTCATGGACTGAGCAACTACTGAATTCTTGGACTTTCTGTTTATAGCCATTGTTGGATAAGTAAGACCACAGTCTATAAGTCAATTTAATAAATTTCTTTTTTCTGGGAATTCATTCTGTAAGTGTTGTTTGTTCTTCTAGAGAACCCTGACTAATACATCCACCAAAGGCCTGTGCCCTGAAGCTTGGTCCCCAGTCCATGTTGTTACTGAGCGATGACAGGGCTTTTAGTAGGTAGGGCTAGTGGAAGGAAATTAGGTCATTAAGGGGCATTCTCAAGAAAGGGATATTGGACCCTTTCTGTCTCTTTTTTATACACTGTCCTTTCACAGGCTCAAAGAAATAAGGCCAAACATGGGCAATCTCTGACACAGTAAGCCAAAACATATATGATAATATTTCTTCTCCATGTCAACTGTCTTGTTTACCGTAGTCTTCTGACTTCTGGGTTAGTTATTTAACAAGATGAAAGCAGAGCATGGAGGCCCAGACCTAATATTCCAGTCTTTTCCTATGCCAAACATCTTTTATTGTGTTGCAGTAAGAAAACAAAAGTACAAAAACCAATAAATAATACTGAGCACTCTTGCTACAGATCCAGGCAAAATTCAAACAAAAATTTCCTAGCAGCTACTAGAGACACTTTAAATACACTGAGTGTGGGAACCACAGAGGCCTCGTTCCTGTCACACTCTGAAGTCAAATCAATCGACTGTAATAATGGTCAGACCTAAACTAGTAAAGCCAATTAAGGCACTGGATGATTAAACCTTTATATATAAAGGGACAATAATCCAGAAAAATAGAATTAAAATAGTCTGCCGGCAGCAGATTTCTACCATTCTTTCAATAACACTGATGAGATTTGGAATGATTACAGCATTAAGGATATTTTCAGAGAATAACAGGTAGGCTACTGGACAGGAGGTTCACATTCAGGACTCAAGTCTACTTTAAAAAAAAAAAATGATCTCACTAGCACTAGATTCTAGCTCCTTTTTTTGGTTTCAAAAGTGCTTCTACAACCCATAAGAAGGATTGCAGGGCAAGTAGCATACAGACCCTACAGTATACTCTCCTGACTACACCAGCTGGGTGACATAATCAAACAGCTGATCTGCAAACGCCTCAGCAGAAAACTTCTCCGCCACCCTGGCTTTTCCAGCTAGGCCCATTGTAGATTTTAAGGATGGTTTGTAGATGAACTTTTCCATTGCTTCTGAGAAGTGCACTGGGTCAGGCTCACACAGAAATCCTGTGACCTTATGGACAACAGTCTCCAAGGGCCCACCCGAATTAACAGCAATGACTGGGCACTGCATGTACATGGCTTCCAGAGGGACGATGCCGAAGTGCTCATTGCTTGGAGTGTAAAGCACACATAAACAGGCGTGGAGGAGCGAGATCTTCTGTCTGTCTGAGAAGGACCGCAGGAAGGTCACATGCCGCTCAAGGTCTGACTGCTGCACTATTTTCTTCAGCTCCTTATAGTGTTCCACGTTCTCCAGGATTCGATCGTCGTAACCACCGGCCATGAACAGATGAACCCTCTCCCAGTCTTGAGATGGCAACCGACTACGAAGCTGGACGAGGGCGCTCAGTGCCAAGGGCAGATTTTTCTTCCTTTCATATCTGTTGATAGAGAGGAACAGGAATTGTTTCCCCTTAGGGTGTAGGTCACCCAGCTTGTCAGGAACAGCCAAGTCAAAGCTGGCGATATTCAGAGACGGGTAGAGTACATCAGGGTTTCTGTGAGACAGGGTCTTGAAGGTTTCCTTAAAGACGGAAGCTGTGTACTGGCTGTTGACCAAGATGCGATCTGCCATGCCTGTGGTGTATTCCTCGATCCAGTCAATGGGGACCCTGTAGAACCGCTTCAGAGCAGAATTTCTCTGGGAAAGCAGCAGATCCGGGAAGTGACAGTAAAATATGACCCTCTTACGCCGTCTGGTCAGTTTGAACACTGGGATGCAGGCAGACACCTAACGAAGGTAAAACAGTAGGTAAGAGACTGGTCATCTCAGCCGCCATGGGCACACTCTTCTGTCTGTTACAGCCCGGCTGCCTGGTATTACTGAATCACAGGATCTGGGTAAATGTCTACATTAACCATGAGGATACAGCTTCCTCAGGGTGGCTCACTGCAACTCAGGATCATAAACCCCAGAGCAATCAGCACCTGTAAGCATGGTTTAGAGTGTAGCAGCTGACAGAGTCCATTACAGATCAGAGCATGGGCAGGTCTAGTACAGACTGGGGGAGAATAAAGTCACACCGTTGGGAGGAGAATTTGGAAACTGCTATTGACATTTATGAACTACTTGATGACCCACACCCCCAGGAGTTTCCTCAGAGGACTGTGTAAGGAGCGAGATTAGTGCAGTATGAGGCTGCCACATCTAGTCACTCACACACACACACACACACACACACACACACAAAACAAAACAACAACTGGTTGCAATGTCAGTGTCCTTTAGAGAAGACTGGAATGCTTACAGCACATTTGCATAAAGGGGACTTTCCAGCCACTTAAGACACTGATAGAGAAGAACAGGAATTGTTTTCTCCGGATCTAGAATATCAATAAGCAAGGATATCTCCAAGTTTTGCAGAACACAAGCAACAGCAGGTGAATTGAATCCCAATTACGTACAAGTAAGATGTAGCAGGAAACAGACACACATATACTGGAGTAGCCATATATTACTTCTGAAAGATGCAGAAGAAACTGCTCACAGTGGCTCTCTCAAGGATGGAAACGGGATTTTTACATTATACTTCCTATGTGAACTTTTACTCCTGAGTAAATGTTAATTCTCAATTAAAAAAAAAAAAAAAAAAAAAAAGATGGGGCTGAGGTGTTGGCTCCAGGAACTCAGGGTATGGCCCTCATACCTGCCAGAAAGTCTTGCCACATCTTTAGGTTTCAGCGAGAGATCCTGACTCCAGTGTTCAGGTGGCGACGGAGAAAGCTATCTGACACTGACCTCCGGTTTCCACATGCAAGTCCAGACACTTGTACAGACACAAATATACCCACCAATCTCCTGTCAACACCCAAACGCTGAGCTGTAACAACATCTAAGAAACAAGCCTAGTATGGCTACAGGGCAGAGTGGGTTGAATGCTATTTACTAAAAGCTTGGACTTCAGTCCAGGAACGTGGCCTACATTGGAAACTCAGCACTTGAGAGGTAGAGGCAAGAAAGAGGATGTCGGCTGGGAGGCCAGCCTGGGGCCACTTATCAAGGCATAACAAAATAACTTTGGACTTTTCTCCAAAGACTGATGGAGACCACAGTAAAGTTTTAATGGGGCATGATATGTTTAGCTTGACTTTAATCCATGGCACTGCTAAGTACTGGAATGGCGGTATTAGGAAGACTGGAAAGGGTGGGATGGATGGGACCTGAAAGCAGAGACAACAGGAATAACAGAGAAGAAAGAAAAGAGTAAACGGAGTCAAGGATACAAGGAGTGCCCAGAGGCGACTTTTTTAATGCCAGCGAGGGCCCCCTCAAAAACCAACCAACCAACCAACCAACCAACCAACCATTTCAGTCCCAGGACTAAGCATGTGAAATGCAGGTATGTAGCCGGGCATGGTGGCACTCGCCTTTGAGCCAAGTACTCAGGGAGGCAGAGGCAGGCAGATCGCTGTGAGTTCCAGGCCAGCCTGGTCCACAAATAGAGGACCAACCAGGACAACCAAGGCTACACAGAGAAACCCTGTCTCAAAAAACAAAAACAAAAACAAAAACCCCAAAATAAATAAATAAATAAATAAATAGATAGATAAATAATAAGGGATATGAGCCCTACCTCAAGGAAGGGTCTTCAACCCTTCAACCAAGGCGTGGGTGGGGGAGGTGTCCTTGTGATCTGCCACTTTACAGGGTCCATTACTAAAACTGGGGACAGTTCTCTCGCTGGGGACTCCTGCTGGACAGTTCAAAAAAATAATCCGGAACAGAGGTCCCTCCCCGCCCCCAGCCAAGAACTGGTGGCCGCCTCACCTGGTCGCACACCACCACATCGAACTCCTCGCCGGAGAGAAATATCACGTAGAGCGCCAGAAAGACCATGCGCACGTAGGCGCAGATGGCGGCGCCGCGGCCGCCCCAGCCCAGGCTGCGAGGCAGCCAGTCCCCGGCGCAGTGCACCGGGAGCTCGCGGCTCTCGATGAAGCAGTGGCATGGGTCGTAGTGCGCCGTCCATATCTTCACGTCACAGCCGTACTCCTGCAGGGCTAGGGCCGCGTCCAGCACCACCCGCTCCGCACCGCCCACGCCCAGGTCTGGGTGCAGAAACAGCACAGATGGGGGATAAACCCGCCGGGTTCGGTACAGGTTGTCGGCCATGGCAGAGAAGCCGCGCCTGCGTTCTACGCCCGAGCTGCTGCAAGCTCCGCCCCTGGCCTTGGGGTTCCAGAAAGCCCACCCAGTTCAACTACGCGTGCGTCAGGTTAGGACACATCAGCGGCAACAGTGTGGGCGCTAGGGAAATGCCTGACTTAATTTCTCGTGTGAACATGTCCAAATCTTCTCATTTGGTGATATTAGACCCTATGAAAGACAGTGAAATCAAACAAAAGAGGAGAAAGGCCTGTGGAGTTACACGGTTCAGTTATTCTCGGCATAATTTTCACAGGCATATCTTAAGACAGCTCAGATATCCTAGTGCCTGCGAAGACCCTGCCAGCCGGCCGGGGGCGGTGCCAGAGTCTGTCTGAGCTAGTGCTCTGAGTGCTCAGCAACTTCGCGACTGTCTTCTTCCGAGCTCGCTGTTCTAAAGCACCAACATGGTGCGTGGTACCCGTTTCCAGGCGCCGCGCTAGCCCCTGTCTTGGTCTCCCTCCCTTTCCGGGACCTCATTGCTTTCTCCAGCTGCCCGGGTGGTTGTGCGGTCGGGGGTCTTAAGAGGGTGGGCATTGCTCACTGTCTGTCTGCTTCTCTTTGCAGCCGGGTCCGACGCCCAGTGGCACCAACGTGGGCTCCTCAGGGCGCTCTCCCAGCAAAGCGGTGGCCGCGCGGGCGGCGGGATCTACTGTCCGGCAGAGGTAAGTGTCCCGGGAGTGGTCCCGCTGCGGGCTGGGACAGGTGGTGGCCTCGGGAGTTCGCATTACCAGAAGAGCAAGGTGGGAAGATTCATATGGGCCGGGTAAGCCCGAGCTGACGTGGCCAAACAGTAGTTAAAGGCCTTTTGGTAGGGAGACAAGGTTTCCCCCTTGATCAGTTTAACGCACCATCTTAGTTAAAGGGAACTTAAGTTAGACCAGGATCAGGAACGACTTTGGGAAAAGCAATGGCATAAGGCTGGTGTCTGGGGCTTTACCTTCAGACTTCCATCGGGAGGTCCCGTACACACTCAGTTTAACAAAGTTTGCCTTACACGACAGTATGTCACCCTCGTTCCCCATTCTAGTTGTGCGTCTTTCTTTCTGTATATGTGTGTGTGTGTGTGTGTGTGTGTGTGTGTGTTTGTTTGGCATGCACATGTATGAGCATGTGCATCATGATCTTGCCCGATGTCTTGTCCTCGGATGTTGGGAGAGTGCGTCAGATCATCTGAAGCTGTAATAATGATTGATTGTGAGCCACCACATGCATATTGGAGACCAATTTTGAGTCCTCTGTAGGAGTGACAAGTGCTTTTAACCTCTAAACCATTTCTCCAACTTCAATATCTCCTTATTTTTAAATGTCTCTGCTATACACTTACTCACAGAAAACCAGAAACTCCAGTCATTTTGTTTGTTTGTTATTTGTTGTATCTTCCCTATCCAATCATATGTGAGGCTTCATAGGAAGACTTTCCCATTACTGTTCTTCCTCTATTTCTGTTGATTCAGTGTAGCCCTCAGCTTCGACTTTGCATTTTCACCACTGTCTATCTTCCAGCTGTTACTCTTCCACTTAGTTCCACTTAGGTTTTCTGGTGGCTGTATGTTTAAAAAGGAAGCCTTTGGGGGGGATGCCAGGGCTTTCCTTTCTCCCTCCTGTGATCCAGCAATTAATAGCTCACTACTGTTCTCTGAGCTCACTTATCCTCATTAGGCCTGCTCTCTTCCCAACTATTTATTTATTTGTTTATTTGACAGTCTCAGGCCTGCTCTGTTCTCAACTATCTATCTATCTATCTATCTATCTATCTATCTATCTATCTATCTACCTGACAGTCTCAGGCCTGCTCTGTTCTCAACTTATCTATCTATCTATCTATCTATCTATCTATCTATTTATTTATTTTACAGTCTCACATAACCCATATTATTATAATCATCCTGCCTTCTTGGTAGGATTAGAGTTTTGCTAATAGTGCTCATCTCCTCTGTTTGGCAGAGAGTCTGCTCAAATCCTCTTTTTCAGCTCCTGTCTTAAATCATGCCACAATAAACCGACTGAGGGAATCAATCAACCCTTTTATGTTTTTGGAATAACAAGTAAGGGTTTTTTGTAGCAAGGTGTAGATAGGCCTTGAAAACTGAAAGGAGTACTTTAAAATTACCCTTAAGAATGTGACGAGGAGAGGAGTTGGGTGCGGGGCTGCACACTGTGATCCCAGCTCTCAGGAAGGCAGAGGCAGGCGGACCTCTGCGAGTTGACATCCAGCCTGGTCTACAAGTCGAGTCCAGGATAGCCAAGGTCACACAGAGTAAACCCTGTCTTGAAAACCATTAAAAAAAAAATTGCTGAGGAAGGCTTGGGGATATAATGGGTTTAGCTCAGTAATGGAGAGCTTGCCTAGCATGTGCAAGGACATGATCCCTAACACCGCAGACAAAACATAGTACAAACAACAACAAAAGAGGATGTGAAGGACTTTTGTTGACCACAGTAGGAAAATCTAAATGCTGCAGTAGTGAATCTAAACTAGGTGGTTTGAACGTGTATCTAAAACATGCAGCTTGGAAAAGGAAGTTGTAATAGAACTATCAGAAATGATGAATGACTTAATGCCATTGAGTGTCACTAAGGTATTCAAGGGAAGTGAATTGACTTACGGCTTGGGTTATATGGGCCTAGGAGCCTGTGTTGTTGCTGGCTATACTTTCAGAGACTCTGTGCTACTCTTATAGGTGTGTATAGCTCCTCAGGGATTGGTTTCTGTTCAAAAGGAGTTAATAGGGAAGTTTGACTATCTGCCTTTTTAAAAACAAGAAGGTACATATTTATGAAATTATTAAAGTATAATAAATGAAAAGGAGGCAACTAGTGCACAAGTAAGGTAGGTGACAGATGCAACTTTTAAGGATATGGCTACGGATGCTGTTTTAGGATCTAGACTTGTAGGTCCCGTAAAGCTAAACAGCCTGTGGCTATATGTATAGAGAGACAGTAAAAAATTCATTCTAGAAACTTGTTTCTGGTTAGGTAATTGTAATTGCTGTTGGCTGTCTTAGACTATGTCTATTATTTGAGAAGAAGTTGGAGCTTATGGTTAGTGATGCTTTGCTCTATGTAGTTGCAATTTGTGTCTCTCTGAATGAAGTAGCAGTAGTAATAATGCCTCAGAGAAGAAATGTGTGGGGATTAAAGTTAAGTTGGGGTTGCAGTCTTTGCTATGCCAAATAAAACAGAAAAGGAAGCCATTACAAGAATGAAAAGGAGCGATGATACTTTAGGAACCACAGACCACACAGTGCTAGCGACATGGTGTTCATGCAGAAGTGATAGGAACTAGAACTCCTAAGATGGTGGAACAATTAGGGAAATGAAGACAGTCATCAAATAATAACTAAAGGTCTGGCACAGGTCAAGTTTTTCTTTACGTTGGAGAATGTATTTGAATAAAAGATAATCAGGGCTTATCTGCATTCTGTGAGCTGCTTCCCGGTGTGGGAGGCCATGAAAAACCAAGGCAGATAAAATAGATTATGTAATTTCAAGTGATGGATGCAATAAATTAAGGAAGCTGGCCAGGCCTGGTGGCATATACCTTTAATCATAGCACTTGGGAGGCAGAGACAGGCAAATCTCTGTGAGTTTGAGGCCAGCCTTGTCTACAAAGTGAGTCCGAGACAGCTAGAGCTCCGCACACAAACCCTGTTTGGGGGGACAAAATTATATATATATATGTATATATAACACACACATATATATGTATATATAACACACATATATATGTATATAAATGTATATATAACACACATATATATGTATATATGTATATAAAACACATATATGTATATATAATACACACATATATGTACATATGTATATATAATACACATATATGTATATATAATACACACATATATGTATATATAATACACACATATATGTATGCATATATAATACACATATATGTATATATAATACACATATATGTATATGTGTATATATAATTCACATGTATATATATAATACACATACATATGTATATATAATTCACATGTATATATATGTATATATAATATACACATATGTATATATATATATAAATTAAGGGAGCTGGGTGAGGAAGGAGGGAGGGTGGATAGTTTGGGAGGGTAATTCAGGGTGGGTGGCTCATGAGTACCTATGAGATACAGGGGACACTGGTCTAGGGAGGATAAGCCATCTAGGCAAAAGGAATGGTAAATCTACAGGTACATCGGTGAGCTGGGGTTGCTCCAGCACATGCCAGCAGCCATAGTGGTAGACCAAAGCATGAATGTGGCTAGGGAGAACAGCTTTACAGTCAAGTGCAGGAAGGAGGTGTAGGCTCTGTTGGGTTAAGAGATTAAAGTAGCCTCTGTCAGGTACCTCAGCTAGCTTTCCAGATAAGGTAATGAGGGGTAATGCCCCCTGCCCTCAGGATGAGAGCTGCTAGGAGAGTCTGGTCTGGTGTTGGTCCTAAGTGTCCATATGTTTGGTCTGCTCTGTCTGCCATGATGGCTCTATATACCAGCCTCCATTCTTTTACAAAGGAGAAGTTCTGGTTGCGTATTTTCTGCTTTTCATAACCTGTCCCTCTTCAAGACTGATGGTCAGTAAATCAAAGTAGCTCAAGGACATTGCAGAGTAACTAGTTCATCACATGCATGCTCCATTTGGGGGACCTTGATATAATTAAAGTTTAATGCTTTTTCCTAACTTTGTAGCAAGTCATTTATTTTTAAGCCCTCTTTTTAAAGTAGTCTTTCCAAAATGAAATTATAGGTTAAGGGCATTTATAGATTGAGCTTTCTTACTTAGTTTCACAGAAATTCCTATGAAGACAAACTGAGGCACTGTCCATTGAGGAGGCTAGATGTGGAGAGGCAGTTACTGTTCACATTGGCACATGACAGGAAGTACTCAGTCCTTAGGACATAAGATCAGAGACGCAAAGGTAGTTTGAGTTTATTCTAGTAAAAAAGGTGTTTCTTCTTACAGGTTGCTTTTTTTTTTTTTTTTTTTTTAATGTTACTAAGAGGATTTCTAAAAGGCTA